CACGGCCTCAGAAACTTCGTGGATCAATCTGGAACAAATTCAGTTTGAAATAGAAAGTCGTTTTTCTTTAAGTCTCATGTGTGTGCGTTTTCCAGCGTTCAGTTAACTAGCGTCTTCGTTCTCTTTGTATTTTTATTTTCAGGTGTGGGAATGTTAACTTTGCTAGAAGAACTAGCTGTAACAGATGTGGAAGAGGTGAGTATCTTAAATGATATCTCTTCTTCTTGTCTATTTTTGCCTTTTTAAAAAGAATATTAAATCTTTCTAATTAATTACAAAGCAAGATGTTTGAGAACTGTTTGGTTTTTTGTTTTGTTTTGTTTTTTTTTCTTTTCCAGAAAAAACGACAGAAGCCAAAATGATGAAAGCTGGAGGGACTGAAATAGGAAAGACACTTGCTGAAAAGAGTCGTGGCCTCTTCAGTGCTAACGACTGGCAGTGTAAAACGTATGCCCTTTTAAAAAATGCAGAGTGTTCTCTTAGAGCCACGCAACACATCTACAACGTGATACCTGATTTTGTCAGTATAAATTTACTTGTGCTGATGAGAGAAGAGTGATCAAAACTCGCAGCTACTACACTAGTAGTGTTTTGCTGTGAGGATAGCATTCACTTTTGTTTGCTGGACAGCACTTACTTAATTAACATGACTGGAAAAAGAGTGAAAAATTGAGAGTAGAAAGGTAAAAGTTCATGTTTTTCTCTGATAAGCCACTGTCTGATAAGACACTTCGCAAGCTCAGAAGAAATGCGTAAATGGAAGTAACGCCTTCAACGCAGTATGCTGTTGTATTGTTAACATTCACTAAATATTTAATCGGTAAAGTTTAACACATAGTTAAATTCTTAGATGTTTCTCCAAGCCATCAATTGAGAATATTAAGATCTAGATTAGAAAAGGACTGCTTTAATAAAATGCTTTGATTTTTGAAAGGTGCTTTCAGATTTTCTAGGGCACTTTTAAGGATTTCAGTTTTTGCTGATTAAGCTGTCTGACCAGTGAAACCTGGATTTTTTTTTTTTATTTTTTTCTGTCAGAATTTAGCTGTGTTCAGCCTGAGGGGTTTCTGTTTGCGCTGTTCTGCAGCACGAGACGGGCAGGTTTCCTGGGCAGCACCATGGGTCCCGGTGGCTGAGGGAATCCACTTGATGGCACGCTTCAGGATTGTCATGTCTTTCCAAGTTGATAGCTAGGCTGTATCTTATGGTCAAAGGTCTTTTCTAACCTAAACGATTCTATGACTCTATGACCTTCTCCTCTCTTTGGGACTGAGCAGCATCCTGATGATAGCGTTACAGATGGATGAAGTATGAGTGGCCTTTTAGGGTGCTGTAAGATAGAAATGCAGTAACGGAAGCATATAGCTGTAGCTGTGCATCGGTGGATGATGATGACTGCTCATAAGCATTTTTCCCATGGTAGCTTCATTCTTAACTCCTCTGAACTGTGAATGCCACTAGGGGAAAGTAATGAGGAATTTTAACACTTTTTGTGTGGTGTTACTTCTGCTAACTTGTCTGCCTACCTGCCTGTTAATTTTACTTCTTTCCCCTTGATTTGTTCAGTATGGTCATCTTCCCATCATCCTCATGCTGGTGAAACATGCATAGACTCTCTTGCAGTTCTTTGTGTCTTTGTGACTGTTGGCCTTGGAGTTTATTGTGTTGTACTAGTGACCGCACATCACTGCTAAAACTTGGCAAATACATTTTTATTATTTTTTTAACTGTTGCCTCGACACTTAAGCTTTTTGATTTGAAAGAAAATGTTTCTTATTTCTGTTTTGTTCTTTCTGCCTCTGAAGATGTGGTAACGTGAACTGGGCCAGAAGATCAGAATGTAATATGTGTAATACTCCAAAGTACGCTAAATTGGAGGAAAGGACAGGTAAGATGTATATGGTTTTAAAATACTCAAACTACTGTAAGAAAACTTCTTTTTATAAATCACAATGTGATTTAATTAAAGGGATTGTTTTCACAGCAGAACTAGCCAAGTTGAATGATCTTCCATATGTAAATGAATCTTTAGGTTCTTAGACTTGATTACTTTCAGTAGTGTGACAAGTATGTGATGGTTTCATTTGGAAAGTCAACAAATATTCAGCTTAAACTGCCTCTGTATTTGATTTTGATACTAAGATGTTTGGAAGGAGTAATACAATATTTTATTAAACTCCAAAAGGTCTAGTGTATATATAGTGTCCATCTACAGACGACTTGGCAGTCACAAGAACAGTATTCGAGGGCTGTATAGATTAGACTGTTATCTCTTAATGAGGTTTGGTCACACTGTCATGCATTTTAAGTTCCTCCTGCATCAACAATGAACCCAGTGGTAACTAGAACAGAGGACAGCCTTACAGTGCGGTCATAACTATTTATACTGTTACCGCTGCAAATGGGATCAGGCAGAGAATTTGATGAATAGAGTGTAATGCTAATGTGTATAAAAAAGTAAGCATGGAGAAGAGCACAGAGATTATTATTCAAAAAGAAAAAGAATAATTGTGTTTCATATAATACTTCATATAATTAAATATTTTTACTATCTAATTCATTTTCAAGTTCTGGTGTCCTTCAGAGTAAATTTGCAGTCATGTGCAGGACACCTAGCATGTTGCACACGCAGTAAATTACAAAGTTAGCTGAAATTAAAATGAATAGTTGAAGTTTTCCACTCGCATTGTAAAAAGGAATAGAAAAAATCTTTTAAGGCAAATCTTGGCACGTGTACAATTCAGTGCAACTACAGGATGCTCTTATTTCTGTTGCTCCCTGAGGATATATATACAACTTTATGTTGCAGAATAATTGCGATATCGGAGCAGACTGGCATGCCCAGAAGCCACCAAGCAGGCTGCATGCATGTAGGACCTGGCTGTGGCAAAGAGGCTGCAGCAATGCCAACAGCTGGGAAAGCAGTTAGCAAGTGTTGTGCTCACCTCGTGTTTCATTGCCCACTTTCCAAGCTGGCTGCTGGCTGCTTTCAGAGGTGGGATTTTGGTCTTGAAGAACAGTAGCCCGGTGCTATTTAACATCTTCATCAATGACATAGACAGTGGGATCAAGTGCACCCTCAGCAAGTTTGCAGATGACACCAAGCTGAGTGGTGCGGTTGACACACCAGGAGGACGAGATGTCATCCAAGGGACCTGGACAAGCTGGAGAGGTGGGCCTGTGTGAACCTCATGAGGTTCAACAAGGCCAAATGCAAGGTCCTGCACCTGGGATGGGGCAACCCCCGATATCAATACAGGCTGGGGGATGAAGAGATTGAGAGCAGCCCTGCGGAGAAGGACTTGGGGGTACTGGTAGATGAAAAGCTGGACATGAGCCAGCAATGTGCGCTTGCAGGCCAGAAAGCCAAACATATCCTGGGCTGCATCAAAAGCAGCGTGGCCAGCAGGTCA